GGAAAGCAGGTGATGCTTTTGAGTGTTGACTCGAGTGTGGGGAGGCAAAGAGGGGATCTGAATGGCTAAAGAAGAGCAGTAAGCGAGTCAGATCGCGATGTCTGGAGCAGCGGGAAAGAGGGTACGCCATCCAACGGAGCAGACCATAACAATCATTCTATTTATATAGCGCTTTCCCACGCTCAAAGCACTGAACAGTAAAAGTATTCAAGTTAATACATACTAAAAAAACTATAACATAAAATATGCAACACATTATAAAAGTGCAAAGGTACAGTGCAAACAAGAGATGTGTTGTTTAATTTAAAACAATGGCTTATGTATAAAGCATCAGAGCAGCATAGATAGCATTTAAGGGACAGAATATACAAGGCGGGAGAGTAGAGGAGGGAATTCCAGCCAGATTGTAAGACCCTTTGCCAATTCTAGATTTGAAGCTGTCGTGACTGCAAGGATTCATACTCTTAATTTTTTCGGTAAAGTCACATAGGTAAAACATTGAAATAAAAATTTATAAAAATAAAATAATAATAAAATCACTCACTGGCCAGGTGGTGTTGGTCAGAAATGCTATGAGCTCTGTGGTATAGCGTTTTGATGAGATAATTCTTTTGAGATGGGTGGTGGTGGGAATCCGGTTTCAAGTAGGAATTTGTGTGGGTGGCTTTCCTGTAGACAGAATGTCCTCTCAAACAGAATATCTAAGATTGGCAGTTTGCCATCTTTCTCCATTTCTATGGTGAACGTGATGGATGGGTGTCTGGAATTGATGTGGTCCAAGAAGTGATTCAATGCTGGAAGGCCATGTGGCCAAATGACGAAAGTGTCATCCACATACCTCTTCCACAGGGAAGGACGCAGGGTGGATGTCTGGATGGCGTCTGATTCAAACTTTTCCATGAACATGTTGGCTATCACTGGCGACAAGGGGGAGCCCATAGGGGTACCCTCATTCTGTTTGTAGAAGGTGCCATTCCAGGTAAAATAATTGTTGGTGAGGCAATGCCTAACCAGCGCAGGTACATCCGAATTCAATCCATGTTGGACCAGGTCCTCAATTATTGTAAAACTAAGAGTATGAATCGTTGCAGTCACGAAAGCTTCAAATCTAGAATGAATACCCTCTACGGGGAGGAATTTCACCTATCTGTTAGAATTTTTAACAGACAACGAGACAAGAAGTCACAGCTTCTCGAGACGCTGGCCTTCCTCAAGACAGCCCTGGTCCTGGGTACAATGAGCAAGTGGTCAGATGTATTTCATAGGATGTGTAGGTTATCTATGGTCGTTGGGGTGAGAAGGGTTGCGGAGGCATTGGGAGGTCTAAGGCGGGGAGACCTTGAAAAATACCTCTGTGGCACAGGATATTGAGTTTGTGCTGAATCATTGTTTTTATGCTAAAGCCTGTGCAGGGTTTTTAGTGTAGCCATGGAAGCCACGTGGTCGTGACTAATGCTGAGTACACCACGTGCAAGCTGCTCTAGTTTGTCGAGGTGGTTTTTTTCCGTCTTCTGATGTCCGATTATGGGTGGGCGATGCAATAATGAAGTCGAGTGCCGACATTGCTACAACGCGGAGCGTTTGCTGTGGCCCTGCTCAACATTGGGTGGGTGTGCCATGTGACCCCGACGTGGCGATTTGCCAACACATATTTATTGTGTTGAGCACGTGATTATTGAGTGAGAGAATGTAGAGTCCAAGGCGATACCGAGGATTTTCAAAGGGAATTGTGAGACTGACGTTGGAGAGCCGGCGATGAGTAGATTTTTTTTTCATGGAACAACGCCATGGTGAGCCGCTGCCTGGTGCCGAGGATTTATCGAGGTTCAATAGGAGGTGATTTGACCAACACCAGTGCGGTAATGTTAAGGTACAATTGGCGAAACATTAGAAATGGCGTCACGTTGTTGTAATTAAAGCATTTTTAGCACACGTATTACACTCCAGCAACGAGCATGCTTTGCACCTTTTTAGTAAAGGTTAATGTCTTGACACATTAGCAAATCTATTGTTAAACAAGCCACGCGCGTCGACGCGCTAAGCCAGATGTTTCTGTTTGTAGCGAGCGTGCCAGATTTGATGGAGTCTATCGCAGCGTACGAATATCGCAACATTTCAGAGACTGCATTTGCATTGCTCTAATAAGACATTAAAACAAGTCGATATAATGGTACTAGAATTCACGTGGCTCCCACAATGCACTGCATTTACCATTAAACATTTGTGCTAATTACTGAAATAGTTATTTTCTGATTGAGCATTAAATTGTAATTAAAACTAACACGTTTAACTACTTAATCTCGCGTTTCAGTTTATCCACACGTTTTCGGTAATGTTAATTTGTAACATTTCCACCTAATTCATGATATTACACTCCAAGTCTCCACGTCATGACCAGTAATCTCATCCAAAATAAAAACCCTCTTTCTGCATCGTCGCAGAATGCGTTCGTAAATGTGAATTTATTGCGCATTTCTAAATATGTCGAACAATTGTCAATTATTAATAACGGCCACGGTATTGACTAATGCCAGCTGTTGTCTTGCAATTTAAATCAATCGTTACATAAAGACCACACCAATAGTGACAGGAATATGCCATTCATTGTAATACTAATACAGTTGTCGCATCACCATATATGTTGTATGTACAGTGAGGGAAAACTAGTATTTGATCCCCTGCTGATTTTGTACGTTTGCCCACTGACAAAAACATTATCAGTCTATAATTTTAAAGGTAGGTTTATTTGAACAGTGAGAGACAGAATAACAATAACAAAATCCAGAAAAACGCATGTCAAAAATGTTATAAATTGATTGGCATTTTAATGAGGGAAATAAGTATATGACCCCTCTGCAACACATGACTTATTACTTGGTGGCAAATCCCTTGTTGGCAATCACAGAGGTCAGACGTTTCTTGTAGTTGGCCACCAGGTTTGCACACATCTCAGGAGGGATTTTGTCCCACTCCTCTTTGCAGATCTTCTCCAAGTCATTAAGGTTTCGAGGCTGACGTTTGACAACTCGAACCTTCAGCTCCCTCCACAGATTTTCTATGGGATTAAGGTCTGGAGACTGGCTAGGCCACTCCAGGAACTTAATGTGCTTCTTCTTGAGCCACTCCTTTGTTGCCTTGGCCGTGTGTTTTGGGTCATTGTCATGCTGGAATACCTATCCACGACCTATTTTCAATGCCCTGGCTGAGGGAAGGAGGTCCTCACCCAAGATTTGATGGTACATGGCCCCGTCCATCGTCCATTTGATGCGGTGAAGTTGTCCTGTCCCCTTAGCAGAAAAACACCCCCAAAGCATAATGTTTCCACCTCCATGTTTGACGGTGGGGATGGTGTTCTTGGGGTCATAGGCAGCATTCCTCCTCCTCCAAACACGGCGAGTTGAGTTGATGCCAAAGAGCTCCATTTTGGTCTCATCTGACCACAACACTTTCACCCAGTTGTCCTCTGAATCATTCAGATGTTCATTGGCAAACTTCAGACGGGATGTATATGTGCTTTATTGAGCAGGGAGACCTTGCGGGCGCTGCAGGATTTCAGTCCTTCACGGTGTAGTGTGTTACCAACTGTTTACTTGGTGACTATGGTCCCAGCTGCCTTGAGATCATTGACAAGATCCTCCCGTGTAGTTCTGGGCTGATTCTTCACCGTTCTCATGATCATTGCAACTCCACGAGGTGAGATCTTGCATGGAACCCCATGCCGAGGGAGATTGACAGTTTTTTTGTGTTTCTTCCATTTGCAAATAATCACACCAACTGTTGTCACCTTCTCACCAAGCTGCTTGGCGATGGTCTTATAGCCCAATCCAGCCTAGTGTAGGTCTGCAATCTTGTCCCTGACATCCTTGGAGAGCTCTTTGGTCTTGGCCATGGTGGAGAGTTTGGAATCTGATTGATTTCTTCTGTGAACAGGTGTCTTTTATACAGGTAACAAGCTGAGATTAGGAGCACTCCCTTTAAGAGTGTGCTCCTAATCTCGGCTCATTATGAGAGGGGGTCAAATACTTATTTCCCTCATTAAAATGCCAATCAATTTATAAAAATTTTGACATGCGTTTTTCTGGATTTTGTTGTTGTTATGCTGTCTCTCACTGTTCAAATAAACCTACCATTAAAATTATAGACTGATCATTTCTTTGTAAGTGGGCAAACGTACAAAATCAGCAGAGGATCAAATACTTTTTCCCCTCACTGTATGTTGTATGAATGTTGGACTTCTATTGCACCGTACATAGCCAACCGTGCTAATCGGAGGTGCGGGGGAAGGAATGAGAGGTGCGGAGGAATTCATGGTTTCTGTATGATTAGCAATTCAATTCTCTGGACATAACAGCAAGAGAGAGATGTTTTTGTTTATTCTTAAAATGATAGACACAGGATGGTTTTCTCCTTGAGGCAAACCTAAATCTGTAAAGGAAATCTACATTCACATGCCAGTGGTTCGTACGACTTTATAATAACTACCTTTTTAGTTATATCAAAGTTGTACAAACTTTATCGACCCCAGAAGTATGATGGATTTCTGATTTACAATTGTTTGCTTCACTTATCGTCCAGATTAGAATTTTGTATCTGAATACATTTTATATAATTATATCCCTTTCTTGTGTATATGTGGCAATAAGGAGCAGTAGTGTAGCGGTTAGCGTGCTGCACTATGAGCCCGGCAACCCAAGTTCGATTCCCACTTACGGCCAACACCAGTGACGATTATCTGAACCGGTCCTGGGCCTCCCCTAGGTGGACTCAGCATCAAATGAGTATCTGGTGCAGTGTGTAAAATCATCGCCACTCGGGAGACAAAGGCAGTCGGGCGTGGTGCTGGCCACCAACCCCCTCATGTGCCGTGCCGTCCGTGCCATGCTGTGCCGGCCTTCATAGGTGCTCGCTAATACCACTTGCCCCAACAGGCTGTTCAGGCGATACGGGGTATATTTTTACGTGTATTCGTTGGTGTATATGTTTGTGTATATGCAGCAACACCAGGACTACGACACTTGGCCACTGATGATCGACGCCATGCCCAACGTCCAAGCCCCCCAAGATCGGTAACAAAAGAAGATTGTAAATGTTTTGGATGTTGTGGATTTGCTCTCCAACACACTGGTGTGCTGTGCTCGTAACGAATTGGCAAGTTATGTTTACGTTTTGTTTACGTATTCTTAGGTTTTTTCGGTAAAGTCACGTAGGTAAAACATCAAAATTAATAAAAATAAAATAAAATAAAGATCACGACGTTTCGGAGGCAACACAAGTCTCCGTCATCAGGTGGGACCGTCACAGCCAGATTAGCTGCATCAAGTGAGGCAATGATTCAAGATGTAATCCCTTAAAAGCGAGTTGAGGGGGGAGGAGAGGGGGGGGAGCTCATCAGAATGTGGTAGCCAATGAATGGAACGTATCGGGAGGGAGGGGGGCGGGGCCAGAAGGGTGGGCGACGGCGTGGAAGCGATTGTGCGCAAGAGACAAACTGCTGCACACGCCAACGCATTGGACAGAGAGGGGGGAGGGGGAGGCCTGATACACATGATACAAAAGAACGGAAATGCCATTGTTTATACCAATGATGGCTGAACAATGAAGAGATTACTGTTAAACACTCGGTAAAGTAAAGTAAAATAGTGCCTGTCAGATAAGATGGTCCAAAAAAGTGTAATTAAGTCTTTTTTGCGTGGTTAATAACATCTTTCCAATGATTACTAAGTTTGTACCCATCATCACGGTTGAAATTATGTCTGTGTTTGTATATTTGTATGGCTTCGTGTACAAACCTTTGATGGTAGCCAGGAGGTTTGCAGAGAACCTTGGTCTCGGAAAAGACAATTTCATGAGAGCCCACCGAGTTGTAGCAATGATCGGCAACGGCCGAAGAATCAGTTCTGCCGTTGTTTACGTGACAAATCTTACGAATTAGCTGTCGGATGGTGGCGGGTTTAATGACACATTTATATTAAAGCGATCTAACCCCAAAAACCTGTATAATGGATGATACTGGTCACAAAAGCCTACGTGTTAAAATAAGGCAGTTTCTTTAAATTCGGCGTTTAAATTACAATGCTATTGAATCACTGCTGCACTGCCATGCAATGCAGCTGTTGTGTATATATTGACTCTGATCTAAAGCATTTTGGGCGGCTTTTGTTTTCAATTTATTCCGGTCATGCCGGCTCAGCGCTCTGACCTCTGGCCTATATACCAGATATATAACATGGGAGACTGATACCTGTGTAATAAAGGTCGTGGAAGCGACTTCTGGAATCCGGTCTTTATTTGTCTTTCGTTCACATCACTCCTATCTTACTCCTTCATGCTGCTGACAGACAACGTGAGAGGGAGAGAGAGACACGCGCGCGGCCACGTGGCAGCCTGGACCCCGCTCCAGCGTGGCCTTACCCTCCGTTCGTTCCAGATCTGACCACGTGTTGTCCGTCTCCACCCCTTTTAATACCCGGGTCACGTGGTACCTTTCCACCAATCCTGGTTAACCTCTATGGAATTTTCTCGACTCCATCGTACGTTCCCAGGACTGCACCCCTGACTCATCCCCCCATTGGCTGTGGCTAAAGCCAGCAGATCCAATCCTCTACTTACAGATGTCGCCTTCCCATTACGTCAGGGCCACGCCCCTAGACTTTCCTCATTGGCTATGGGCCAGGACCGGTAGAGCCAATCATTGTAACGAGGTGTGATCCATCAGCAACCCGGATATATCTTCACATTACCCCTGTGCAGATGAGTATGGCTCAGAGATGAGTGCTAAGAACACAATACTAGTCTCAGCATTTGGGTTGCACTACTGCGACCCGAATACAACATATATATATACGTTCGTGGCCTTTTCGCCAAAATCTCAATATTTATCTGTTTTTCAGGCGGTAAGACATTGCTTTTTTATATACCACGTATATGGTGACACTTCAATAAATTGAGAATGTGGCAATACAAGGGGGCATGCAGTGACTGCATTGGCAGTCTGGAAGAAACCCGCACACGTACAGTGCACTTTGCCAGTGACTGGTGGTGCTGACGGGGGGGGGGGAGTACAGTCTTTTATATATGTGCACAAAGTGTTCTTGGTTACGTCCCGTGATGCTCTAAGACACGTTTAACACAACAGTCGCATGCACCGGCTTGTTTTGAGGACCTTTTGGCCCAATAACCCAATACGTTCAGCTTTAAAGCAGATAAGATATTGTACTGTATTTTTAAAAACAAATATGCACATGATAATGGTTATTTTTTGACAAAGCGTCCCTTAACGACCGCGCCTTTCAGAGCGAAGCGATTTACATCAAATGTCAAACAATGAATATGAGAGCAATTGAATATTTTTAGAATAGACGTGCACATATCCCTTAAGCCACTCGGGAGCCCGTTGAGACAACAACTATCCTTTGCAAGAGAAACTTGGGTTGCGTGTGCAGTCTAGATAATAAAATATTTCGGACTTCAGAAAAACATATTCAGACACGTTGAAATATTTAAAATGCTCTAACACATTAAATTAAAAAAACTACAGCAACACAGAAACTTTAAGTTGTTATTGGGTGTTGGCGTGTATATTCAGTGTATGGGGTTTTTTTAAAGTGACCTTGCTACAAAAACATGGATCTTTAAAACATCGAAATGATAGTTTCACACTGGCACGTGTTGTAATTGCTAGTCCGTTGTCCATCGCCAAACTGGGCAACAGCTTCGTTTACCTTACGGAGTATAAGGCTTTGCGGCCACTGGCACTGCGACACAGAGTCTGTCCTACAACGCGGTGGTTGCGTTCCTGATGACCACCGCGGCGTCACCGCCCGATCGTTCTGGTGCATCCCCCAGTTGTACGCAACATCGCCAGCATCTCTGTGCGTTCGCAAACGTCGTGCTGCAACGTGTGCCCGCAGATTCCGTCTCGTCTGGATCATCTTCTTCATTATGGGCTTGGGCGCTCTGCTGCCGTGGAATTTTTTCATTACAGCCTCAGCGGTGAGGCCCCATCACTGGCACCACCCCCACCACACTCAGCTCAAGTGTACAGGGCGCTCGAGTATCCGCTCGAAGGAATCAGAATCAACATATGTATTTGTACTGGATGAATCCTATGAGCTATGAAGCTCTTTTTCACAGATGTCCAGTAGATGCGGGAAAGGACACTACAACAACAACAAACAGTACAAAAACACGATAGCAGTGCAAAGTACAAGAAAGGTGAACAAATCACAAATGACGGGGAGGACAGCCGCGGATAATAAAAAATTGCGGACAATGCAAAAATACTTTTCCGCAGATCTCTAAGCAAACAGTATAGGTATAAATTGTGTTTAAGTCACACACTTTCGTAAATAAAAACTCACGAAATAAATGATCGGATAAATCACTCAAAATGAAGCACAACTGACGATTTGGATTGTTGCTGTTTCGATTACGAACGAATACGAACGACCGACCGATGCGCGTCCTCAGTGATTAAAACACTTTCCTGCTCCTGCGCAGAAGACTCGGCCCACGAAGTGGATCGCAGCAGAGCCACGCCAATCAACATCAATCAAACTCCGCCCATTGTTGTAAAGAAATGCAAATACTTTACTGCAGACCCGATCACGTAGATTTGGATTAATCGGAGAACATATTTGTTCGGTTTAAGCCCGTGACTTGTAACAAACATTTCCAAGAATAACAATGTATAACTATTTTTTTTATCATTAATTTAGGCTTAAGGGAAAATCCATGAGTTTATAATTTATGTCCATGGTTAATACGCAAATTGGATAAACCGCACGCGGGTAATCGAGAGTCTACTTAATTTAGTTTAACCAGGTGTAATGCGGTTGTAAACGGCCCTTCTGAGGTGCCGTCAGGGGGGGAGGAGTTAGGTCACGTGGGGGGAGAGGGGTTGAGTATAGAAGGAGGGGAACCGGAAGAGCAGGGGGAGTGACTGGGAGCCAGGAACAGAGGAAGGCCACGTAGGGCGAAGCGGGGTGTGGCGAGATCACCACGAACACGGGGGGAGCGAGGATCGGCACCGTTGGCCAGCGGTGACCGACCCGAAGCAGCGAGGAGGCTGCAGTCAGCAGCGGGGCTGCACAGAGAGAGTGGGCAGCGGGTCTGCATACAGTGACAGCCAGAGGGTCTGCACATAGGGGTAGCAGCAAGTCTGCAGGGAGGAGGTTACAGTAGATGAAGCAGAGAGTCAGAGGGGTGAGGAAGCTATAATAGCAGTGAATAGCCGGGGGCTACAAATACAGGAGTTATAACAGAGTGCCGTGTGGGTAAAGACGTGAACCTGAATAAAGACACGAAGACAGAAAGAAGTGTTCGAGTCCTTTTTATTACACTGGAGTCAGAAGTGAAACGGCATGGCGAAACAACTGAGGAAGAAGAATATCCCATCTCCAGCGTCGGCTTCATCATCGGACGACGACGATCTTCCTCCTGAGGTCGGCTTCACTTCGGCGGAGGGAGAGATCCGTGAGGGCCCGGGTGTGGAGGAGGTTGCCGCTGCGCCCGACCCATCTGCGTTGAAGGACGAAGATTTAAGATGGACCCGGATGGCGGAGCAACTGGCGACCCTAAAAACCGTCATCACGGAGTTGTGTGACCTTGTCACGCCAAGGGCGGCGTTGGAAGGTGATGGTGGTGATCGGCAGGAGCCCGGGTCGTCTTCGATGGCGCCGCCATCGACCACGCGGCGTGAAGACGCCATCTTGGGCGTGGCGCACCACGGAAGGCGGGAAGCCGCCATCTTGGGGCCGCCACGAAGATCGTCCGCCATCTTGGCGACACCGCGTTGCGACGCCTTGCTGAACTTGCCGCCGGAAGAGTCGGTGACGGACGGAAGCAGGCCAAGGAGCCGCAGTCGTCACCTTACAACTGTTAAGGAGTTCTCCATCGGGGGCGATTGGAGTGCGTTCGCTTGTCGATTTTTGGCGGCGGTACGAACGGCAAGGTGGACGGACGCTGAGGCGCTGGAGGTGCTTCCGACTCTCCTTGACGATGAGTCTGTTCGTTTTTTTCGCTCTATAAAAGCTGCGAAGAAGAAAACATTGCGTGGAGTGTTCGACGAAATGGCGGACGCGTACGAGCCACCGGATGACGCCCATCGCCGCTTCGTGCAGCGGCAACGCGCACCGGAGGAGTCGCCTGTAGCGTACAGGGGCGCCGTGCTGGAACTCGCGATGGCCGCTTACCCGGAGACGGAGCCTGACCTGCTGGAACCTCTCATCTTGGGGAAGATGTTGGAGTTATCCCGGGATCTGGGCATTCCTATGCCGGCTTGCGGTCACGAGAAACTCACGTCCCGGACCGCGGCTAAGTGTTTGGACGCCCAGTTCAATCTCCGCCGCTGGAAACAAGTCACGGCGTGGACGGGCGGTCCTGTCGTCGATGGGGGGGCCGTAGGGTGGGACCCTACAAAGGCCGTGTACGTGCCGGATGCGACCGGCCCAAAGGAGCTGTCGGCCGCCTCCACTCCGTGGCCGGCTCGAAGCGAGCCGGGGCCGCGGGCTCCGCCGCCGGCGCGGCCACGTCGGGACGGGGTGCCTGCTGCGCGCCGACCCGACGTCGACTGTTTCCGCTGCGGCCGTCGGGGCCACTATGCCAGGGACTGCTGGGCCCGGGTTCCGGGGCCGCCCCAGCAGGAGGCCTCGATCGCGGACGTCCCAAAGAAAGACCCTCCGGCACAGGCAAGTCGGTGCGCACCAGACACCCGGCAAGGCCTGACACCTCACTCATCGCCGTTGTTGTGCGACGCGGATGTTCTAAAATATGGGAGGCCAGTATCTGCGCCTTGTCGCTCGATAACGCAGTGGCGTAAGTTGGCTCGGCGGGTTGTCGCGGCCGCTACAGGTTCGTCCACTGTACCGGGGTCGATCCAAGGGGTGGACGTGCGTATTTTGGTGGATTCCGGGGCGTCCGCGACCATTATTTCGGATGTCATATTCCATCTTTTGAACATCCCACCGGGGGCCGTGAGGCCGGCTTACGCTTCCTGCATCGCTGCGAACGGGGGTAGTATGGGCATCGTGGGACAGGTGGACGCTAATATTTCTATCGGGGGGATCTCGGCCTCGGGCGTTGTGTTAATTTCGAGGTCCCTGGCAGTTCCTTGCTTGTTGGGCACGGATTTTTTGGCTAAGATGCCCATTTTAATTAGAATCAATGAAAATTGCATTGAACTGCCAGGGGGCCGCAAATTGGCGTTTTTACAGTCCACCTGGGGGCGACCGGCTCCGGTTGCCCAGGTGCAGGCGTTATCGGAAGTTTCAGTTGATATTCCACCTGGCTCGCAGATGCTCATTCCCCTACGATACCGGAAGCCGGTTCCGGGTCGGCAGAGTGCTTGTGGAATTTTGCTGTCGCCGTCCGCCGCTGTTACGGGCGGATTGGCACTGGTGGGGGCGCAAACCATTGTCCGTCCGGATCAGCGCCCGTTTTTGCAGGTGTTAAATGCGACTTCTGAAAGCGTGTGTGTGCCGGCTGGTACCGTTGTGGCACACGCCACTACGGCGTTTACGGCTCAGAGTGACATTCCGGACGGGGGGCTGGTGGGTGGTGTTTCACACGACGGAGGGGTGGACGATCGTTGGATCGCCGAATTATGTGCGGAAAATTCGGCCCTTTCCGCTGAGCAGCGTTGTGCGATTCATAAATTATTAGCGAGCTATTCCGATGTGTTTAGCTCGGACGATTTGGACTTGGGACGCACCTCGCTGCTCTCTCATCACATCGAAACGGGGGACGCGGCCCCTATCCGCTTGAACTCGCGTCGGATGAGTCCGGCTGAGCGTGAGCACGTTCGAGGGGCAGTGGAAGACATGTTGAAAGCGGATATTATATCTCCGTCTAATAGCCCGTGGGGTGCGCCTGTCGTGTTGGTTAAAAAGAAAGATGGTAAATTACGATTTTGTGTGGATTTTCGGAAGTTAAATAAAGTGTCGGTGGCAGATGCGTATCCCCTGCCGCGTATGGACGATTCTCTCGACGCCTTGTCAGGGGCTAAGTTTTTTTCAACGCTAGATCTCTCTTCGGGCTTCTGGCAGCTTCCCCTTGACGAGCCCTCGCGGGAAAAGACAGCGTTCCGTACGCCGCAGGGGTTGTTCCAATTTAACTGTCTGCCGATGGGGTTGAATGCAGCCCCTGCCACCTTTCAGAGATTGATGGAGTTGGTATTGACGGGGTTGCAGTGGGAGACATGTCTCATTTATTTAGATGATATTATTGTCTTCAGCCGCACATTTGATGAGCATTTATTGCGGTTGGAGGCCGTTTTTGCCAGAATGCGTTCTGCTAATTTGAAATTCAAGCCTAAGAAATGTCATCTACTGCAACGTTCCGTTCGATACTTGGGACATATTGTTAGTGCGGACGGGGTGGCCACGGATCCAGAGAAAACTGCGTGTGTCCGGGATTGGGCAACCCCCGCCACGGTGGGTGATGTGCGTCGGTTTTTGGGGTTCGCCTCATATTACCGGAGGTTTGTTCCGAATTTCGCTACTATCGCCAGGCCTTTGCATCTCCTTACTGGGAAGGGGCACAAATTTGTGTGGGGACCGCCGGAGGAGGCGGCGTTTCGGAGCCTGCGCGACCTACTGGCTACTGCGCCGACGTTGGATTATCCGGATTTTGAACATCCCTTCATTCTGGATACTGATGCGAGTGACACCGGGATTGGGGCGGTGTTGTCCCAGTCAAAAGGTGGTGTTGAGCGTGTGGTGGCGTACGGGAGTCGGGTTTTGTCTCCCGCGGAAACTCGTTACTGCGTCACTCGCAGGGAACTTTTGGCTATTGTGTATTTTCTCCGCCAATTTCGACCGTATCTGTACGGTCGGTCGTTTATTGTCCGAACGGACCATGCGGCCTTGCAGTACGCTCTTAAGATGGACCAGCCATCCGGACAATTGGCGAGATGGCTGGACACGTTGCAAGAATTCTCCTTCCAAATTCACCATCGGAAGGGTGTGCGTCACGCTAACGCGGACGCACTGTCC